TTCTATGATTCTATGATTCTGGGAGACCTGGGAACCTGAGAGAGTCCCTCAAAAAATTGCTGCTAGAGTGAATTTCTTTGGGCACTGAACAAAAAGTTTGTACTGTAACAAGGAACACAATCTTGTTTTGCTCTCTTGGTGTGGCGATTACACATAACAAGTCTCCCAGACTGGGAGACACATCGTCTGTGTGGATGTGTACAGCTCCAAGAACTAACTTCACACCTACACTGCAGAGAGAAGTTGTTACTGGCGGCTGAATAAAAGATAGGCAAGTTGGAAAACTGCTTTCATTGCAATAATACACAGAAACAGAACCACCAGAATAAGTCAGTTTTCCTGTCCTCCAGTGTCACACGGCTTTTTTGCCAGACAGCATCTTTAGTCCACAATTAATCCCAGTGATGGTGGACGGCACGACGTGATGTGGTGCCAGCCTGTTTTAGTTCTGGGTACAAACCCAGCACTCTGTTGGCAATCTTTTCACAGCTACAGGAAGCATCCTGCCGTGAGTGCTTTCATCACTTAAAGGCACGCATTCGTAAGTCTATTTAATGAATTAGAGTTCGCCAGCATTCCTCCTGAAGTATATTGCTGCTTTGTTAAAGGAGGTCAGCTGTACCTTACATCAATGCCAACAAATGAAAGAGAAAGCAGACAGTGGTTTACAGGCTGTGAAGCTGAGATAAACTCCTTTACTTCTTAGACAATCCACTGACCCTGAAGAGATCAACAGCACTTCCATATTTCCCACTGTGCTATTACGATCACACATCTATCACTCTTTCTTTATGACCAGGGAGCCTTTGGAGGAACAATTTTCTTCCCAGGACATAAAACTTAGCCTTTGTAACGTCAGGTAAAAAGAGCGAGCAGGATGGTATCGGCCTTTTGGTAATACCCTCATAATATCAGAGCAAGATGGTTATCAGCCAAGATTTGCAGTACAATTTTCACCCCTTAACAGGTTTTGATTACGTCTCCTGAATGTAATCTCTGGGTTGAGAACAGACTATTAGTAGAGTCTACAGTCTCTGCTATAGACTGCACTAACCACATATAATTTTTAATATGCTGAAGTGAGAGTGGCTGATCTTTTTTTGAGGCTTTATCACTTTGGAGGGAAACCAGTCAGACAGGAGGGGGCCTTACCCGTCTAAGGCATCTGTCCAGCGTCATCGGCATCGGTGTAAAAAAGATAGAGGTGTGTCCGGAACTGTTTAGAGACAGCCTGAAACACTTTAAACTGGTTTTATTGTAACAAAAGAGCCTGCCTTCATTTGGGGTTGCCTTTTCCTTGCAACATGCACTTCATATGTGGCTTTAATTATCTGCAATGTGTGTCACTTTTATTGAGGATGATCCCAGGTTCCGTTCGTCCCCCTGGAAGAAATCCTGCCCTAGTGCAGCAGGTTCGCCTGGACGGAGGATGTGAACAAGCCGCTCGGAGGCAGTGAGCATTACGAGCTCAAAAGGAAGATCAGGACTTAAAACGTCACGCAGTTCTCCAATGCCTTGAGCCACCTGTGGTTGCTTACTCTGTACACACGGCTTCCAAGCTGTTTTATTACTAGATTGTTGCACTCCGCAGAGGTAGCATTTACTTACCTTCCCCAAGTGAAACAAATGCCAAGAATAGTAGCTAGCAAAGGATCAGGCAAGCATCTTCCTCTGAAAGAGCTTTACCTTCTTGAACTGCCATAAAGCATTAACTGTATTAACAGAATAATTAATCTCACTTTTTCTACCACCGGTAGTTGTCAGTCGGGCTGCTGAAAACATGAGCTGTGGGCCTCACACCCACGGTATGCAAGAACGATTTTCATCTACTGCCACCTGTCATTACAGTGTAGTCATTCCATCACTGCACTGTGCTGCTGGGAGTTTTATTCCAGCAGGAAGCATATCTCTGCCAAGAAGTCTGTTACAAGTGCAGTTAAATGGAAGAACTGCCTTAATTCCTCCATGCTCTGCCTGAGACAGCACACAAGGAGATGCTAACGATTCTGCTTTCAGTTGTGGCAACAGAGAATTAGTGTTCTCTCCCACTTCATTTACTTCAAGAGTAAGTTTCTATCTTTAGCCAGAGTATTCACGTTGATGCTGCCTTTAAGAGCAACAGTGGAATTGTATAAATCAATTTACACACTTTGAAGGTTTCTGAGTATAGAGAGGCTGCAGTGATAAGGCTGTGTAAGAACAGCTTTGAAAGAACTAGGAGAGGACTTCAACAGCGACCACAACAAAATGTAAATTCTGGGCCTTGGCTTTTAAGCCACAGCCCAAGAGGAGGAAGAAAGCGCCAGCTGCTGTTTGTGCACCTCCGGCACGTTCCGAATTCTTCAAGCAGTAGGTAGCAGAAGACATGCCAGCATACTGAATTCATCATTCCCCTTAAAAAATAGTCAGAATCAGTTAGAAAGAATTCTTTAATTCCAGCTGTTGCTGTGGCTGTGTGCAAGCTGAAATGCTGGCATGCCGAGAAGCACACCGAGAATGCACGCGCTTTGCTGACTCGCCGAGAGAGCCAACATCCTTTCAGCAGTACGGCTGTAGCATAAACCACTAGCCAGAACTATCCTCTGGCCCTTCAGGCGTGATGCTCACTTCAGTCCGTATCGTTAGCAGCTCTCAGAGAACCCTTCTGTGCACTCTGAACATACAGCGCAAACGCAGCGACCGAGCGCAGCATCCAGCATCCGCAGGAGTGCCACGTCCCACATCAGCATGTTTGCATTCCAGCTGCCGTAGGTGAACTCTCAGTGTCATTGTTCACTCCGTTATCAATGCGTTTTTGCTTCTTTATTTTCAGACTGAGATACTGTTGTTTATTTAAAAGATAATACAAAGCAACTGTGAGCTGCTTTTTGCCCTACAAGGAAAAGAAAGGGAAAAAAAAAAAAAAAGCTTATTGTAGAAGATTCTCTACAGCTCCCTGAAAGGAGGGTGCAGAGAGGTGGGGTTGGTCTCTTCTCCCAAGTAACAAGTGATGGGACAAGAGGAAACAGCCACAAGTTGTGCCAGGGGAGGGTTAGATTGCCTATTAGGGAAAATTCCTTCCCAGAAAGGGCTGTCAGGCACTGGAGCAGGCTGCCCAGGGAGGTGGGAGAGTCACCATGCCTGGGAGTATTTAAGAGACGTGTGGATGTGATGCTTAGGGACATGGTTTAGTGGTGGGCTTGGCAGTGTCAGGTTAACAGCGGGACTCTGTGATCTTAAAGATCTTTTCCAACCTAAAGCACCAGCATTCAGAGGCTGTCACCCAAGAGAAATGTTCCAGTTCTGTAAGCCAGACAGCCATCTAAGCGCTCAGTACAACTCCATCCCAAGACTGCCCGCTGCTACACAACAGCTTTTACTTGTATGCTGAAGTGATCCCCTCCTCAGTTTCTCCACAGCTTTCCCACCCGGCCCTTTTTCCTGAACACAGTTTTTTACTGAAGATGTTCTTGAACAAGACATTTTTGGCTGAGCTCCAACTGAATGCTTAATTATTTAGAAATCAAATCATGGATTTACAATCAAATAATAAACATTTGCACACATGAAATAATTATACTACCAGTCTGTAAGACTTACAGACTGAACTAATAAATCAAAACTTCTCAGATGAAATTATAACATTAAACATATAATTTAAACATCACAAGATACCATTATTTCTCCCTATAAGAAGTTATCTCCTTTTTTTTCAGCCTAGTTACAAGTGCTGTTTTGACGGTGGGACAACAAAGTAACCGCGTGTAAGTTAGTGTAAACACAACCTGAGAACAGCAACTGTTACCAACAGCAAATACACCGACTCAAGTTTCTCAGGCCATCCTGCAGCAAAGCAGCCTCAGAGCAGCCCACCCAAGCGTGCACACCCACCACCCGAGGGCCACAACTGCTTGCACGAGAGGCAGCCCAGTGCTGAACGTCCAAGCTGGGATTACCTTGCCACTGTGAGTTTTTTGTGTGCGTGTCACAACTGGTGTGAGCACAAACCTCAGCATTGACACGCTGAACGTGAGAGGGAGCCTTTCACGCTTGAAACCATGGGGACAAGCTTCCAAAAGACCAGAAGCTTTTGCCTTCCATAAGAGGAGGGATCTAAGCAACACACTAAAAGAACTTGTGTATTTAAAAACAGAGAAAGGCACAGCAGAGTTGGTCACGTTTGTTGCATCCACAAAAGTATGTTTATTTGCGTATGGAAACCCAAGATATTTAGTTCTTATGAATGAAAATGTATGCTCACAGTTTAAATCACAAGCTCTGATTTAAAAATGCAGTCTTGATAACTGCAACTGACAGCTTTACTCCCCAAACGTTAAAGAACTTGAGGCTTCTTTCTGTTCCTTATGCAACTGTTTTGCCCTGTTTTTCAAATCCTCAGCCTTGGCATCATTCTTCTGGATGCCATCTCCCAGTTTGTACATTCGACTGGCATTGGCACAAGCCCATATGTGACCCAGCTCGCACCCTTTCAGCGAGTACTCCAGCGCTCGGTTCATGTCCTTAGGGACCCCAGCTGCTCCCTGGAGGTAGATTACACTGAGGTTGAAGCAGCTAGGAGCAAAATTGCCATCGCAGGCTTTTGTGTAATAGTCTCTAGCAGTGACTGGGTCAGGTTTATCATCGTTTACTCTCCCGTCATGGGCCAACAGCCCAACATTATGACACGCGTTTACTGACTTCTTCCCACCTTTCTCACATGACTTCAGAAAAGAGCTGTAGGCAGCTTTCAAATCCAGGTCGAGTCCTCCTGTCAACCAAGAAACCGAAAGATTACTGTGAGGACGTGCTAAAACAGATGGGAGCTCTCTGCTTTGCAGCGTGCTCCCCATCGCTCTTTGGGAAATACAGCATCCTTCACTCCAGAAGCCACCGACAAAATTTAGGACTTGAGAAACGCTATTGTTGTGCAAGTGACAAAGGTTTTGCTAATGTCTTCAAGTCAGAAAACCCTCTACCACTCCCCAGTAATCACAACAGCTTATAGAG